TGCTTCCCAGCTGGGCAGCGTGTAAGAGGCAATGTCCCCAGAGCTGATATATCAACAGATCCATACAGCTGTGGATGGGCTGGGACTTCTCTGTGGCTTTCTGCTGGCTCAGGTGGTTTTCTTAAACGGATTACCTCGAGTGTCTGCAACAAAGGATCAGTCAGCACCTTCTATAATACATATAGAAAAGTCTCAATCATAACTGCTGAAGCTGAAAACCCATCTGTCAAAGTAGCTTTGAAATGTTACAGATTTACTGTTTTCTTCTCCAGGTACGTAAATTTTTAGAAAACCTGAGAGTGGGGTTTGGATAGACATAGTCAAAAGAAGCAAAGAAAAAAAATAAGAATAAAGAAAAACAATTAAGTGAATGTTTCCTGGCAAAGACCAGCAGAAGGATGTAGCTGCCAAAAGAAGAAGCTGCCTTTGATTAACCTTTACATTCAGAATGCACTCACTATTCTTTTCATTTGGGTCTCATTGCAGCAAATGCTTAAAAAGGTCCTGATTCATGTGATTGCTTTAAAATATTTTTTATTTGTAACAGCCTCCAAATATAAATCTGCATATTCAGGATATCTGAGTGCTGGTTATCTTCCTGTCCTTCCCACAAGTACCTCGTGGACACTGTTCTCTTGAGCGTGGGGAGCAGTGTGTGCTGGGCTGCAGATGGGGCAGCAGTGCCTCTCCTCCATCTGACAGCTTTGCTTTGCTTTGGCAGCCGTATTTCCTACATGCCCACTCACGGTAACAAATGAGCATGTACAAGGATGGAAGTGTGAGACCTGTGTGATGGGAGGTGATTTGCAATGCCTGGCTGCCAACGTGATTGTCAATGTCAATGTGAGAGTAAGCCTTTCATAGTAGGCAGAGGGCTAGGAAATACAGGCAGTGCCAGGGACAGAACAGGAGGGGAGTGGAGAGGATGGGAGAGACCCTTCTCCACTCTGGAGGATGGCTTTAGTGATTACTGTCTGGAATGCCAAGCACCAGCCTTTAATGATGGCTGCAAATGGCATTCATGACTTTTTTAATTCCTCCAAAACAACCTTTTCTCCCTTCCTTTCATTCTCCCCCTACTGCTTTCTTTCCTGCATGTGATTTGCATTTCTTGTATTTTTGATTTTCTCTTAGAATCATAGAATCATAGAATTGTTCTTATTCGGAAAAGTCCAACTGTTAACCCAGCACCTCCAAGTCCACCACTAAACCATGTCCCTAAGCATCACTTCTCATCTTTTAAATACCTCCAGGGTTGGTGATTCAACCACTTCCTTGGGCAGCTTGTTCCAGTGATTGATAATCCTTTTGGCAAAGAAATTTTTCCTAATACCCTGTCTAAATGTCTCAAAGTGAGGCCATTTCCTCTTGTTCTGTCACTAGTTAACCAGAAGAAGAGGCTGGCCTCCACTTCACTACCATCTCCTTTCAGGTAGTTTTAGAGAGTGATAAGGCCTGCCCTCAGCCTCCTTTCATCCAAGTTAAACATCCCCAACTCCCTCTGCAGCTCCCCATAAGACTTGTGCTCCAGACTCTTCACCAGCTTTGTTGCCCTTCTCCAGACACACTCCAGCACCTCAATGTAGTGAGGGACTCAGAACTGGACACAGGACTTGAGGTGCAGCCTCATCAGTGCCAAGTGCAGGACGCCAGTCACTGCCCTGGTCCTGCTGGCCACACTATTTTGGATACAGGCCAGGATGCTGTTGAACTTCTTGGCCATATGAGCACACCTCTGGCTCATGTTCAGCCCTTGTCAACCAGATCCCCAGGTCCTTTTCCACTGGGCAGCTTTCCATGCACTATGCCCCCAGCCTACAACACTGCATGGGGTTGTTGTAACCCAAATGCAGGACTTGGCACTTTGCCTCGTTGAACCTCATACCATTGGCCTTGGCCCATTGATCCAGCATGTCCAGATTCCTCTTCAGAGCCTTCCTACCCTCATGCAGATCAACACTACCACTAACTTGCTGTCTGTGAATTTACTGAAGTTCATCATCCCCTCAACCAGTTCACGAATAAAGATATTAAACAGGACTGGCCCCAACACTGACTCCTGAGCAACACTACTCTTTTCTTCTCTCCTTCACCCCATCTTCATCATCTCTCCCAAATCATTAATCTCTTGCTACTCATCAGAATGTATGCTTCCTCAGCCAGGTGCTGGCAGCTCTGGAGTGACTCTGGCAGTGGGAGAAGGAGTGGGCAGGGTGTGCTGCCTACAAGCCCTGGCTCAGCATGGGGCAGCAACAGGCTCTCTGGTGCACCATACCCAGGGTGGTACCCTGGGACCCAGCACTTTAAGGTAGCTGCCTAGTCTGAACTAGTCATCTCAGCTTCTTCTCTGGTCAGTGAGGAGAGTCAAAGAGAGATGGTTAAGGTAGGATGGGTAGCTCTTCTTAAGTGACCTTAGACAATCAATTCTGACTAGATATCCAACTTTTAGATAACTAGAGCTGCATAGAAGAAATATCTCTCTATTGCATAGAGATGAAGGGAGGACAAATAATTCAGATGGGTGAATCATAAGTCATTTACCTTCTGAGAACTCAAGGTTTACCAGCTCTTTTCACCAAGGGTCTTGGGGCATTTTATTAATTTTGTACAATAGACATATATTATCATACCCTTCTCCTATAGGTTTTTGAATAAAGTACGTAATTTCCTTATATTATCATCTAATGGAGCTATTCCTGTGCCAAATAGGTGGAGGCTTGTATTTTGGAGCTAGAGGCTTTGTAGAAAAGTCCCACTGACCGTTCATTGTATGTGTCATTGCACAGACCCTGAATGAAGTTTCTCAGCATGTGATGAGTTCACAGCATACCTGCCTCCACTTTAGTAGCTAGGTCTGAGGACATTAAAAGTGCTGAGCAGAGTGCTGGAGCCCAGACTCTGGCTAGAAGAGTGGGGTTTGGGGTTTTTTTTGAGCACAAGTGACACTGCAATTTAGTAATTATCTTACAGAAAGGGCTGTAGTTGTGCTTGGCTCCTGCAATGAAATGCTGACAAATTTCAGAAACACTGTAATTCACTGTATTAGGCCTGGAAGATTTAACTGGAAGATTTGTCTGGCTGGCTGCTGATAAAGTGAAGAATTTGTATTTCAATCTGTGAATACTGATCAGGCTTGGATGGCAGCCTGTTCAACCAGGTTAGCATCAAGGTACTTCTAGGCATGCTCAGGGTTATATCTCTAGGGGTAGAGGAATATAAACCAGTAAATATAAGGAAAAAAAAATCACTAAGTCAGAGCCAGTGGAAGTCAGGGCCAGTGGTTTGGGAGTTGTTTTTCTTTTTTTTTTCAGTGTAATTGTGGATGTAGGTGCCTACATCTTCCCTAAATCCTAGATGTATTTCTGCAGAACTGGTCGTTAACCAGTAAAGTATTTTGTCCTAACAGTTGTGTTAAAAATTGTATTAAATATGTATCAGATTTGGGATCTGAAACTCACTTGCATGAGTTTCTCGTTTTATCTCAGAAGGACTGAACTGAGATGAACCATGTCTCCAACCACAGTATTTCCTAGCAAGATGAAATAATCATGACATCAAGCCAGAACTGAGACAGTCTGAGATTGGGGCCTGATGTCCTACTTTTGTCTGCCAGGCAGAATCCTTTCCTTTTCCAGTCCCCGTTACGCAGGTGAATAGGAGGTGCATTTCTGTATTAACTTGTCACAGACACGGGGCAACTCCTGGTTCAGGACCAAAGCTACAGTAAAGAGTTAGTCCTAGCATTGGTGTGCATCATACAGCCAAACTGTACTGTTTGTCAGGAAGATGTTTCTGGGAAGTGCAACTGTTAGTGGTATGGTGGACAGAAAAGGAATTTTTATCATAAGATTAAGAGAGGAATGCATGCAGAGACTAAGAAAAACAAACAGTGTAAGTGCACAGGGACAGTATATAATTGTGCAGGATGGAAAGGCTGGAATAGGATCATTAACAATAGCAAATGCTGTCTTTTGTGAACAGATTGCCAATATGAAAGACCTAGATACAAGTCCTTTAGTGTGGGGTCTCTTGAGACCTCTTTTTGAACAGTTACATTTTCAGTGCATCATCATGTTTTAAGGTATATTGAAGAAGTGGGATGTTGGCACACTGTGATGACAGTGGCCAGCAGAGCAGGTTATTAAGTGACTGGTGATGCATCTCCAAAACATGGGCTGATGAAGTGGTAGAGAACTGGGCATTGCTGTCCTGGAGTTAAACGAGATAGAAGAAAGAACATGTTCTTCTGGTGAGTGTGATGACTCAGTGAAATGCAAACCAATGAAAAGTTTGTCAGCTCTAATTTTATACACACTAGTTCTTTCTTCCTTGCATTCAGAGCACAATATCAGCATATTTAATTGTGTGGTTACATGCGAAGAGTAAGCATGCTCTACAGTTTGTGTCAGTAGAGCTCATGAGAAGTCAGATCTCCACAATGCAAATCTGTGTGTGTCTGTGTTTGTATGCCTCAAATGAAGAATGATCCCCATCAATTGCTGCAGGCAGGCTTGTGGACAAGGATCTTCAGGCAATGGGGAAATTAACTCACTGGCATCTCCTTGCTTGACAATAGAGTTTAGCCTGGAACAACTTACTGAGTGTAATCTATTTAAAAAGACAAAAGACAGATGCCTCATTTATTTCAAGAAACTTTGTATTTAAACTATGCTTCCAAGTGAAATATGCCCTCGAGGAATCTCTCTAGTGATGTCAGACACTCACATGCCTCACTTTCACAGACGTGGGGAAAATGGAGTAGAGAAAGCCAAAGCAATTGGGAGCCTTTCCCCTCACACTACTATAATTACCACACAGAAAGCATTACATGTTTGCTTGCTCTCCCTAATGCACTGCTTCATGGCAATCTTCACATGAGCAGTGAATTTCCGTAAGTGAGCAGTGACCTACATTCAAGGCAGAAGCCTTTCTGCTTGCTTTCGGAGTGTGCCCTGGCTGCCTTCCAGTTCAAGTCTGAGATTCTCAGCATTTCATTTCCTGGCTCATCCTCGTTGGGTTTGCTGGGGCTTGGGTTCACTGTGGCACATCTGCATGGAAAAGTCACTGCAAAAAGAAGGGTTGGAGTGAATTTTTGTGGTAAACTTAGACACTACTCTGACATAAGTTATAAAAATACAGCCTACAATGAACACAAATGAATATGTAGTTAAGAAAGCAGGAGCCTGCTTAAAATTTGGACTTGTAAAAATCAAGACTGTGACTCAATCATAGAACATTTTTTTCAAACTTTGTCAAAGTCTTACCATTAAATGAGTTATTGAATTAAAATTTTAGGCTTTGCCATTGATGCTTTGTCCTGCTGTGTACCTTATCACTGGCAGGTGAAGCTAACAACATGTGAAGTGGTGTAAGAATACTGGATAGCATAATAAAAGTGCCATTACAAACCTTTTGTAAGTACAAAATAAGAGTGTGTCAAATGAATGCATTAATAATTTTTTAATGTATTACTTCAGTTTTACAACACCAGCAACCTGGCTTGCAAACTTCCTATTTCTGGTTTGTTCTGCAAGTAAAGCAGTTGTTTGAAGGGCTGCAGAGAGCTGTGGTAGGAGCCTATGAATCACCGACATCTTTCAAAAGAAAGCTCCTCTCTAAGTGTGGCTGTCCCAGTGGTGAGGTGGCATGGAGACCAGACAGACCAAAACCAAAGCAGAAATTAAAGAAATCAGCTGAATCTGCTTAGAGATAACCATTTCTAGAGAAATTCAGAGCAGCTGTTCCTTTGGACTCACACAGCACAGCTTGACAAATACTTCAGAATAAGCAGCACTGGTGCACTAACATCCTCCACAGCTACGAGAGTAACTGAATATTAGGATATGTTGCCTGGGGTCCAGAAGAGAGTTCAGCCTTCCAAGTTATCTCTATCTCTCCCTAACATGGAAATGTGCATGGGCTTAGGGAGCACATTCCTGTCTGCTCCAGCCTGCCACACTACATAAACCACATAAAGTAAAAGGGGAGCAAAATAAAAAGATCAAGTCAAACTATCCACAAAAAGAATCCCTCCAAACTTACAGCCCAAAGAGTGAAAATTCTGAAAATCCTGAAAATCTGGCAAACCAAGGGGAGTTTTTCTTGGCGAGTGAACAAATAAGGAAAATATGGGAATGAGTCATTAGGGTCAGGGCTAGTTCAGACTTCAGATCAACTGAAGTTTGTTTCAGGCAACTGACTTTTTCTGTGACACAGACACAGGAAAAGCTGACGCGGCAGAATGAAAATAACAAATTACCGTGACTCCACAAGGATCCTCTGTCCCAGTAAGCTGGCTACTTGCTGGGAGTTTACTGACTGTGGGGAAGGGCTCTCCTATATTTGTTTTAGTTTCTTCACTTCAGCCAACTGGGGTAGCCATACTTCAGCATAAAAATGGATCAGGAGTGATAACAGTGGTGATTCTGGCTATTTCTCTAAGTCAGGAGGGATTTCCCACCTTATCTTGCAGTAATCTCGCTTTTCAGAGAGCCTCATTTAGTGTTGCTCTGCCTTACTAAGGAGAGCAGACCAGGACTGTTTCTGTGGGCAGCTGGTGCAGAGTGCCCTCAGCAGCAGTCATGAGAGAGACCTCTCCTTTGCGCTTGGGCAAGTGTGTTGTACAGGACCTTAGTGCATTATGGTTGAGAAGTGCTGACCCATTGCAGCTGGGCTGGTGCTGAGTGTCCCTTCGAAATACCCCCTCTTTCACTTCCATTTCTGCTTTTGTTCCTGCAGAGCACCACTGTGCTTTACTTATTTCTCTGTCTTGCTCTATCTGCTTCTCCTTTTCTTTCCTCTCCCTCATCTCTTTACTCCACTTGTTCTCTCTTCCCCTTCTTGTTCTGTATGTGTTTCCCCTCTGGTCTTCTTCAAAAATTGCTGCTACCATTCTCCATGGCTAGCACTCAGTGATCCTCACCCTTCTGGAACACTGAACAATGTTGAGCTCAACCACTGCAACAAAACTCGTAGATAACTTAATCCCTGGATATTTTTCTGGTTCCTGTGCTATAGAAAAAGATGTTTTGTGCATGAAGATCTAAGGCTGGCAGCTGTGTTTTACCTGGAGGAATATAACAGCCAAATCCACACCATGCTAACTCTAGCTTTTAGGTCCACTGCTAATACAAGCTGCTACGTCCAAAGCTAACACTGTGCTGAACCAGGATTTTAATTTGCAAAAATAAACAAAACTGCAAAACTGCATTGTTTAGCTAAGAATTCAGTGTTCTCATTTTTCATGAGAAAGCATGGGAAACTGAAGAACAACACTCTGCCACCAGGCACAGCACGAAGCAAGGTAAAGGCAAATTAATAGTACTGGGCTGCTTTCTTTACATAATTGCCTGGGGAAACCACCTAAAGCAAATCTGGATGCTAAAAATGTCTTCAGGGATAAAAATATCAAGCAATTTTCTGTTCAAAAAAAGATGCCAATACTCTGAAACTTGACTATTTTTCCTCAGTGCTTAAAAGTGAATCTGCTGAGGTTCCATCTCTCCTCTTGGTAATGTGAGAGTAAAAGCTTTTCTGAAAAAAATAACATGCACTCGTGTCCTCTCTCACCATTCAAAACAAAAAATGCTTCTTTTTCTATGGCAAAAGCACATCTTTCAGCTATTGCTATGAATTCAGAAGTCATGTGTTGGTATCAGCAACCCCTGCCTTGATTAAACCTGTTTCCTTCCTATCCAGCCTGCTGGACTGAAACACAACTCTAACACTGGCATCCCTTCATCACACTCATATAAATAAACAAAAAAAAATTAATCACTAAACTGAGAGCAGGCATTATATATCATTAATAAGTATGACCACAATAGGACATGAAAAAAAAATTCATCTGAAAATTCCTGGTATGTATTCTTCCTTTCATCTATTTTTGCTTTTTAAAGGAAAAAGAAAAATCTAGTAACTACCTTAATTTCTTTTAGGTTGTGCTTATTTTTAATCAAAACCAAAACCTACTCAGAGTGCTGGGGGTATGTGAGATAGACCAATTCTTCTCAAAGTGAGAAGTGTAGAATAATTTTGAGAGGGATCAGGGAAAACCCGTCTCACATTTGTTTCCATTCTTTTTTCCTGTGGCTTTGGGATTCCTTTCCTCTTTGATGGCCATAGGATGAAGTGGCAGAAAGAGGATGTGACAAAAGTTGGGGTTTTGTGTAATACTTTCACCGTGTGCTGGCATGGCAAGTTGAGGTGGGGTCACAAAAATTGCATTTGCCCACCACTGCAGAAGCAGCCCCACAGAGACTTCCCCAGAGGAGGAGGCGGCTGGTGGGATTGGATGGGAGTGCTGAGAGCAGGAGGGAGGCATGGCACAGGGGGCCAGGGCACCAGGATGAGCTGGAGTCAATCTCCCTCGGACAAGAGTTGATTGTTACATGGGTACATTGCAAATTTGTATCCCATTAGTTAATCGGTTTAAATGGATTGTACAATCTGAAGGAAACAAAGAGGTGTGGGTGCAAATCCATATTACTTATGAAAGAGGGATTCATTCTTCCTCCTTTTTAACTCTCCCCTGTGCTAGCTCTCTGCAGGGTGCTATGCTAACTCCTTTGTTTGGTATGGTGAATATTTAACTTGTTCCATTCTGTGAAGAAGCAAAGCACCCAGAGGATGCAGGAAGACCACTGTTCTTAACAGTGTGGACCAAGTCAGCTGGACTGCAAAACTCTACCCATGTCAAAAATTACAATCTCATCGTCAACAGCCTCTCTTTTTGGGTCCACAGGGGCTGTGTTAAAGACAAAATTAGTATGTGTTTCTTAGTTTCAGGTGTCCTTGTAAAATCAGTAGCTACTCACTTTGCTTAAGGAGCTTTTCTACCTCTTTCTTGCCTACTCCTTTTATACAATTCACTAAACCTGGCTTAAATGCTGTGATAATTAATTAATTGCCTACACACTACCTGTTAATGCTGCTTTAAAAAACCACATCCTTCTTTGGTTTCCTGGATCGAAGTCTGAGCAGCTTAAGTCATACCCTATGAAAAAGAAAGGGAAGGTTGTTTTTTTTTTTCTTTTATAAGGCATATTATGTTAGGAGCAGCACAATTCTCAGGGACTCAAGAGGCTAAGGATATGTGAGAGCAGCAGTGGGCTGTGTTGCCACTAACACTGCTTGCTTGGATCCTGCTTCTCAGACAGAATTGAAACTTTGCATGTGTCTGACTAACTTGTGTACAACATCTGATGTACAAAGATGTGATTTGTGCATGCAAATCCCTGTTGCACAAGAAAATGTAAAATTTGCTGAGACATAAGCTTTTACCACATGCAATGTTTGAATTTCTCCACTAACTATGATAAAGCTAGCTTTACATATGACTTTTCTGAGTGCTTTGCAGACTAGGAAGATAAAACAATACTGTCAAAAGTGGTTTGGAAGATTTCGGAGCAAGAAATTTGCCCAAGGATTTTAGAATCACTATTGTACACAAAAAGCCTGACAACTGTGTGTGGGTGGGAAGAAAGTCAGCCTGTTCCTTATGCAAAATCACAATCAATAAGAGCAGAGTGATGGCTAGGGTGTGAGGGGGTTACGTTGCAAAGAACAGGGATAAGTGAGACAGCAATAGCTGCAGTCAATATAAATCAGTTCAGATCTTAATCATCACTGTTTACCACAAGAGCTGAGGAGGAAAGAGGCTATTTATCTCTTTTTTCTTCTCTCTTCCAAACTGTCACCAGCTGCCACACCCTTCTGTCTTAGGGGCACAACCCCTGCAGCCCCATCTTCATCCTCCCTTATCAGATTTTACTGTGTTCTGTCTTCTTCCTGGCACACCAGTTTTTCTACATCGCACTACTTGCACGCTGGTGTGACAACATGAGCAAGTGCTTCACGTCTTCACTATCAGAGCCTCAAATGGTCCATGCCAGAACCACCATGCCTCCCCTCAGAGTTGGAGTGTATTCACTGAAAAGTCCACTGCTGTCTAGTAGCAGCCTACTGTGCAGCTTTTTTAATGTACCTTTAAAAACATCCTTTGCCCTGTTGCCTACAAAAATCAGAACTACAAAAAGGAAGTGGTACCTTCAGCTTGCTGTGCTGATCAGTGTTGCTTCATTTGCTCTCTTACTTGATCATCCATGTCCATCTTCTGCACAGCTGCTACTTAATGGGACCAGGAAAAAGCTTCAGTAAGCTCTCTGATTGGAGCCATGCATATCAGAAATCACAGATGAAGTTGCTGGGCACTCCATCCATTAGACCTATAATAAACAGAAATATAAGAGCCAATATCGAGCAACATTTGGCCCGGTCTGTCTTGATTGATCTGTTGCAATAAGCAGTTTCTCCACTGTTCTGGCTCTTCACAGTTGACTCAGAACACATTGCCAGAGTGCTCAGGCTTCATATGCACCAGTAAAAATGCAAAGTATGCAAGTGTGACCCATGCTCCAGGTTAGCATTTATACAGGAATCAGTGAGTACACTCTCTAGATTTGCCTTGTGATAATCAAATAATGAGAGGTCACAGATTGGGAAAGCATTCAAGGGAAAGAGTTTAGACTCTTGGCCCAGATTGCTTGTTTTCATATTTTCTTCCCAGTCTGTAGAGTTGTTTTCTTCCTTTCCCATCAGAAACACTTTCTGCCTGTGTCATGCAGTTTTCCTGGTGTGTGACATGTGCATGTTCAAAACCTCCTGGTGACAGCAAGCAGAAACAAGGCTCAAGAGAGCCCGCTCCTGTCAGTCAGCTGGGCGTGATCACACAGGTATTATGAGTGTAAAACCTGATGCATTTTCCATGATTTCTGCGTTTCTGCTCCCCTGCTTGCAAAGAATTTGCAAAATCTCTTCTGGAAGCAGAGTGTTGTGTTTGCAAATGAGAAATCCTCCTCTCCCCTTTTCTTATCTCTAATCGGTGATGTCCAGTGTGTCCAAAGCAAAAGAAACTCCAGAGAATAAAAAAGCACTAAAAATGCTGCTTTAGACCACAGAAGTACATTGTAGTTCCTGCCTGCTGAGTTCACAGCCAGGACACAATCTGTATTTGTGGCCAGCACTCGTCACTTCCTCAGCAGCTCCCCAGACACTTCTGGCCACGCTGGGGTATGTGGGGAACCTGAGGAAGCCCACGCTGTGCAGGGCTCTGTGGAGGTGCTCAAGAAGGCACCAGGAGAAGGCTGCATGGTTAGCACCCCTTCACTGGAGGTGCTGGGGGAACTTTCCCAGGGGTGCTAGCTGCTGGCCAAGGGCAGGGGGTGGGGACCACAGGCAGTGGGGAGGGGAAGGAGGTGCTGAGAACTGGAGGCAGTGTAGGCAGCTGCTCTCAAGAGACAAAAGCAGTGATGCCAGTGAAGGGAGCTTGCTAAGGATGTCCTATTCACTGTTTCAGAAACTGTGATTTTGACAGCAGTATGACCAAGGCAGATCAGTTACTTCCAGCACAACGCTAGCTCCAGGCTCTGCAGCTAACTTAGCTGATGTCTGTGCAGAACAGACATGCCACAAAGACACAATAGCACAGAGCACACAATGCCATACAGAGGGTACCAGCAGTGCCGGAACGGTACTCTCTTTAGGTATATTGGCCTCAGTGTAACTTAGTTAATGCATGGAACTCCATGGAGCTGGTGTACTTGGACCTTTGTCTCCCTGCATGAAGCTCCTCTGGATGACCAGTATGTTCTGGGTGGGAGAAACAGGGGAAAGGTCCCAGGAAAAACAAGAGGTGTTTTTTTTTTTTTTAAGGTTATCCAAACAGTGCAAGGCAACATAGAAACTAAGTTCCCAGACCACCTCCCATTATCTGTCTCCAGCCTGCTTGAGGAAAGCAGTAAAACTCCTGCAAGAAGTAGTGTGATATGCTGTTCTCTACTGAACTGGAGATGCCTGTAAATGTACATTGACCTGGTTTACTATTCTTTCCAAGTATTTCTTGTTGGCTCCTCTTATTATCTATTTAAACGCCCACTACATGGGTTTATTTAGAGAGGTGTTCACTGAGCCCTCCTGGGAATAAAGCAGTGTTAACAGTGGTTTGCATCTGAGCCAACATCCTTTCCTCTACCATCATCACCCCAGGATTACTTCACAGTCAGCACAAGACAAAAGCATGAGACAAAAGCAATGACAGCAATTTCCCAGGCTAACACGTCCCGGGGGCTCATCAGCTGGGCATCAGCTTGCATGTGGAGTGGGGAGTGGAAGGGTTTTCTCCTGTAGGGTGGCCCAGTGCCTGGGGCATCTCAGGAATGTTTCTGGTGCAGAAACACAGAGTGGGATTGGGGCCACACTAGAGAGTGGTGCTGGGTAGGCAGTGGTCTTGGCTGACTGCTCCTCTCAGGAGCAAATAGCACCACCAAGCATGTAGGTGCCCAACCCTGTATGTGCTGTGAAGGATCCATTCAAGAGGGGATGGAATGTATTTGACAACATCACTGCAGTGGTGAGTCTGTTACATTCTTGTGGGGAGAGGCCTTCTTGCTAAGTACCACTAGGAGAGGCATTTACTTGTTGCTGATATATCAAAAAACATCATCTTTGCTGTGGTCCCTGCAAACTCATCCTCAGCACTTTCCTTCTGCTTTCCTCACAGATAGTATTTTCCCAGTACAAGAGATCTTGCTTCATTCCCTCTATTTCTTAGAAACAAAACATAAACAAAAGCACTGTATGAACATGTGGGTCTCCTGTGTAAGGCTCCATTAAGAAGTGCTCCTGCTCAGGGCTGGATGAATCACTCTGAGCAGGGCTGTTTCTAAGCACACGCCGTATGTGCTTTAGAGCAAAATAGGAAATACCTGCACTTCAGTCTTATAACAGTCGTGCTTGAATCAAAGCAGATGATTTGTAGCCAGGGCCAGGTTCACAAGAAAGGGCGAGGTTGCTAGAAAATCAAAATGATAAAGCTTCCTGTTTTTAAAGATGGATTTCAACAATGATTATTGCTGCCTCAGAGAAGGAAATGGATGCTTGCTAGCTGAAAAGTACCTCTCTATTTCTCCTTGCATTAGTGTGCCAAAAAGTTCACACAAACAAGTGAATTGTGCTGGAAATGAAAGAGGCTTCCTTTCAGAGTTCTCATCTACAGTAAAATTACTATGTGCTCTCAAAATTAAGGCTACTCTGTGTTCTGCTGTTATGCAGGCTTTAGGCTTTCTCCTTGGCAACGCAGAGTGCCCTTAAGAACTAGAAGTGCTCAATGTCTTATGACTTTATTTTCCTTATATACACAATGATTAAAACAAAAGACAGCTGTTAACTTCAGGAAGAAAGCCACCATGTAATAAATCTTCTGTGCTGCACCATAATAATAATCCTCTTCAGACAGACACAATTTAGCATAAGAGTTGTCTACATTTGGTACTAGTTACCATAAGAAGGTATTCTTTTATTTCCAAATATATGTGAAAGCTGGCTGCACATTACTGAGCTGCTGTTTGTGTTACAAACAGAAAGTGAAATCTCTTTTTTTTCTTTTTAAATGACACTTCACCAAAGGCATAATGTGCTTTCTGTGCCAAAGCGCCATCAAGACGGTCAAGTGTCCCCCCCAGTCACAGCAGAACACACCCTCGCAGGGCCACAGCACCACAGAAACAGATCTGTAAGGTAAGCTCACGAGCTGCTGCTGAATGACGTGGCCTTTACTAGGATAAGCACACTGTGGCAGAAGCATGCAGATTTTCATTGCAATGCTTTGATACAGACTCTAAAATGCTTGGATGCAAAAGGGATCCTGCCTGGATGTGTTAGCGCCTTGACAAAGCAAAATCTGCATTTATTTTGAACCTCTGGTGAACAACACAGTAGCACAGAATTCATGTAGGTAAAAAACACTGAGTCAGCCTGCTTGGTTTAATCATTTCTCAGACCTTGCAGGTAAGCTCCATGAATATCCCTGTGGATTTTGAGGGAGATAAGATTTTATGTGCCAGGTGTTGCAGAGGATTTAGTGATCCTCTTGAGTTTAACAGTGATATAGAAGGTGGTACGAACAGTTCTTTGTCAAGTCCCTCCTACTCATCTCTGTTTTTGGAGGCTGAAGATAAATTTGGTGTCACCTTGAATTTTTTTTTGAATACGTTTCTCAGGGTAGTTGTTGTACAATAAGTAGGTAATTGGATACAAAGAAGGTACAAAGAAAGTAATTTGCATAGATTTGATGTTTTTGATATGGGAGTACTTATGAAATGGTGTGTGAGTTCAGGGTCATGATTCATCTTCTGTAAAGTCAGTGCTGAAGTTAAGATTTAGAGCTAGGTGCACTTCTCAGACCGCTTGCTAGGCTTAGCACATGAGCAGTAAGAGAATGGATAAAACATTTAAGAAAACATGAAAAGAAATCCCAAAAGTTCTTCCTTACGTTTATTTGCTTTTTGAAAAATGCCTTCAAACTGGTAGAACTCAGGTTTCTGAAAAGTTTCTGTACATTTAAAACCTTTTCCAAATAAAAGCTTGTGTAAGGACGAAAAGGTATGGCTGGAGTATTTGCTGCTATTGGAGCAGTTCTTGGATTATGAAGCAGATCACTTCAAGATGACATGTTTTATGTTGGAAATAGACATGTGGCCAGATGTCCTAAGGACCATGGGAAATATCAAGGCAATTTAAAGCAACCTTTTCCTGTTCGTATTCCACATATAGTCCAGAAAAATTAAGGAATTCACCAACTATTTGTGAGCATGGTTATAGTGTTAAGTAAAGGGAAAGGAGGAGGACACACAAGACTGAGTCCTGATCACTTTCCCTGTCCCATTGCTATCTCCCTGCCTAATCCTGGTTTGGGCCACTCTAACAAGAGAAATTTGTTGTGGGGTGGACCATGACCATGGTGGTGGGAGACAAGTCCTTGGACTTCTTTTATGCAGTCATAAGACACAGCATCTCAACCAACTCGCCAGATTTTTCCACTCCCTTGTAACCTAAGCATATTTAAAACAAAACAAACAAACAAACCCAGGCAAAAAAAAAAAAAAAAAAAAAACCAAAAAAAGAGACATATTAATTTAGAACACTTAAAACTGTCAGTGAGATTGTAGTTCAGCCATATAGGAAGCTGGTCTCTTTTGGTCTGTACGACGTAAAAAATGCAGCTGGTCCATAGTGCAGAGAACTGATCTGGTAGAAACACACTGTATTACTTCAGAGAAGATGACCTCCATGAGGCCTGGATGACCTTGAGACATTCACTCCAGCCTCAAACATTTTGTGATCCAAATGTCTGTGAAAATTTCTTTGTCCTAGAAAACTTTATGCCACA